AGAGGAATGGTCAACAGATGACCCCAATGAGAGATCCAATCGGCTGGAGTGGTTTCTACCTGGGTCAGGAGAGCCTGAAGAAGATGATCCTGTGGAAGGTCCTATCTCTCCATACATCCCTGAAGGACTACACTTCTGTCTCTGTCTCCAGAGCTGTTCTGGTTCTGGCTCATTTATTTTGCCTGTTGCCCCCCAAACTCCATCTCTGGAGTTGCTAACAGTGCCCACCCCTTTCCCTTATAACAGGATTGTAGGGCATTTTAACAATGAGCAAGTTCTTCACTGTGTGGGAGCCAGGACAATGACTTAGCAATAACTGCCAGCAGTAGCCCTTTAAAGTGGTATCTGTGCAGTCACTGTTTCATGCACACCAACCTTCAGTATCAAGTTCAACTGAAATTGTAGTTCCTGATAGGAGAAGCTCAATATTATATTCTGTGTCTCTGTATTTTTAACCAGAGCTGACAGTAATTGAAGGATAGCACAAGTAAGATGATAGTGCTGGAAAACCCACATAAAAATCCACTAAAAAAGGAATAGTGGTTTGCCTAATCTGCCTCGCCAGGCAGAGGAGACCTCATAGCACACCACTCTGTAATCTCCAGGAAAGTAAAAACATCAGTATTTATCTGTCAACACCCCTTAATATATAGTCAGCAGAATCAGAAGTCACCCAACATAAAATAAATCCTGGCAAAGCATAGGGACCGCTTTCTATTCAGTGCTTTTCAGAATGTCATGGAATGACATATTATTGTATTTTGCAACAGGGAACACTGCCAAGTGCAATGAAATTTAAACAGTAACATTACCTTTGATTGTATCCATCAGCTAATTAAAATTCTTTGTTAGGGATACCTTAAACAGAATGTAAGATGCCCAGAATCCTTTGGTTTTGGGGTCTCAGGCAGGCACAGATCCTGAAGCAAAGGTTTTGATGCAGGTACAGAGCAAGGGTGTGAAAAGGCACCGGCTAAGGCAGGCACATGGCCTATCCTCTCCCTCTAACATAGAAGAGGAGACAGCAGTGAGGGAAAGCAGAGCAAAGCTCAACATGCATCTGAGAGCAACTGACTTTGAACATTAAACAGAGTTGGACTCTGTAGCATACTGGCTCCACTAACCAATACTCAAGAAAGAACTGACTACAAGTGGGGCGGAATTGCAAACCTGATAATTAGGAGTGTAAAGTCAATTCCCTGAATAGAAGAGCAGAATTGTGAGGGGTTCTTTACTAAAAAGGGGCAGACAGCCATGATACATGATAAATATGGGTGATAGGCAATTTATTCAGAACAAAAGGCTAAACTAATAGTTAACAATGTGGTGACAGAGGAATTTAAGATAGAGAAAGGGACACGACAAGGCTGCCCAATTTCCCCCATTGCTTTTTATTTCGGTCCTGGAGGTTCTGCTAAATATGATCAGAAGGGACCGTCTGATCAAAGGTATACAGGTCGGAGCCAAACAGTACAAATTGAAAGCTTTTGCAGATGATTTAGTATTGACGTTACAGGAGCCAGAATCTAGTACTAAAAGAGTATTAGAATTGATTCAGGAATTTGGTCATGTGGCAGGATTTAAGTTGAACAAGTTAAAAACTAAGGTGCTTGAGAAAAATTTAACACCGATTGAGAAAGAGAGGTCTCAGAAGGAGACAGGTTTAACATTGGCTAAGAAAGTAAAATACCTGGGGGTTAATATGACTGCTAAGAACTTAAACCTATTTAAAGACAATTATGAGAAATGTTGGTCAGAAGTGAAAAAGGATCTAGAGATATGGTCAAACTTGAAGCTTTCCTTGTTAGGTCGAATTGCTGTTATAAAGATGAATGTATTGCCAAGAATGTTATTTTTGTTTCAATCATTGCAAATCTTGGACAAAATGGACTGTTTCAAGAAGTGGCAGAGAGACATTTCTAGATTTGTTTGGCAGGGCAAGAAGCCCAGAATAAAATTTAAAATATTAACTGATGTAAAGGAAAGAGGTGGATTTGCCCTGCCAGACCTTAAACTTTATTATGAATCAGCAGCATTCTGCTGGTTGAAAGAATGGCTGCTTCTTGAGAACACAGACATTTTGGATTTAGAAGGTTTTAATAATGTTTTTGGGTGGCATGCATATTTGTGGTATGACAAGGTCAAAGCACATAAAGCATTCAAAAACCATATTGTCAGGAAAGCATTGTTTAATGTCTGGATAAGATATAAGGATTTACTTGAAAATAAAACCCCAAGGTGGTTGTCACCGATGGAAGCGAAAGCACTGAAAAAGCTCAATATGGAGGCCAAATGGCCGAAATATTGGGAAATTCTGGAACAAGAGGGAGACAGATTGAAACTGCAGAGTTTTGAGAAACTAAAAATAAAGTGCGAGATTGGCTTCATTATTATCAGATAATGGAGGCATATAATTCGGACAAGAAAATTGGCTTCCAGGTGGAAAAATCAAAATTAGAAACAGAACTGTTAGAACCCAAAACTAAGACTTTATCAAAGATGTATAACTTGCTGTTGAAATGGAATACTCAGGATGAAACAGTGAAATCTGCTATGATTAAATGGGCACAAGACGTTGGACATAACATAATGATGGCTGACTGGGAACAGTTATGGACCACAGGTATGAAGTTTACGGCATGTAATGCCTTAAGAGAGAATATTATGAAAATGATATACAGGTGGTACATGACACCAGTCAAGCTTGCAAAAATCTATCATTTGCCCGATAATAAATGTTGGAAATGTAAAGAAACTGAAGGTACATTCTTTCACCTTTGGTGGACGTGCCCAAGGATTAAGGCTTTCTGGGAGATGATCTATAATGAATTGAAAAAGGTATTTAAATATACCTTCTTGAAGAAACCAGAGGCCTTTCTCCTGGGCATAGTCGGCCAATTGGTGCCAAAGAAGGACAGAACCTTTTTTATGTATGCCACAACAGCAGCAAGAATACTCATTGCAAAGTATTGGAAGACACAAGATCTACCCACTCTGGAAGAATGGCAGATGAAGGTGATGGACTATATGGAACTGGCGGAAATGACTGGCAGAATCCGAGACCAGGGAGAAGAGTCGGTGGAAGAAGATTGGAAGAAATTTAAAGCCTATTTACAGAAATATTGTAAATTAATGAATGTTAGAATGATGTTGGATAGAAAGTAAGTGGTTTCTAGCTGTAATACTGTAAGGGAATATGAAAAATGGATTACTAACAGGTAAAAATTTAACGTTACAATACTTTAAGATTAAAGACTTGGATAAACAAAGAGGGGAAGGATTTGCTGAACCAACAAACCGAACTGGAATACAAAAAAGGGAGGCATGAGGAGGTCCGGAAAATAAGCTAATGAAAAATAAGTAATGGAAAGATTGAGTTGTTTTTAACTATTTTTATTTTGTATTTCTCTTTTTTTTTGTAATATTTTGAAAATTTCAATAAATATCTTATAAAAAAAAGAAAAAGATAAATATGGGTGATAGGAAGAGCCCTGGACTTTTCCTTGAAGGAATGAAGGACTCATTCAAACACCTCAATGAATTATAGGCAGTTCGGGGGTTCTGAAGGCATGCTGAACCTAAAATGAAACATTTATATCAAAGGGGAAGCATTAAGTAATCTCACAAAGGGTTTCTCTTCAATGATGGAGAGGGCTGCACACCTTTCAGTGCATCAATGGAGCCCTGAAATGCATGGGGCAGTCCCTCTTCTTGCAGAGATGTGGGATCACACTGAACTATCCCATACGCAATGGGTATTGACATGCTGGATTGTGGGGTTTTGATGTTTAAATCAATTTTTTCCCTTCTGTCATGACACTAGAACTTCACCCAATGAAACTGGTTGGCAATTGGTTTGGGACTCAATAGAACTACTGCTTCGCTCTGCACAGAATTAACTCACCACATGATGGTTTTTATTGTTACTAGAGTGGTGTTGAAAACTGAGTCGAATACCATCCTTAGTTGGGAATTGCAATTACGTAGCAAAGAGTACATCCATTGCCAACATCTTGGTGGCAGAGCTTATTCTTTTTGCCTGCTTAAAGTTTCAGATCCAACCCCTTGTATCTCTGTCTTTGAAAAATACTTAACAGAACAACACAAAAGCAGGATCTCAGGTCAGCAGCATTGGGAAGAAAATTGCTGCATTTCTGCTTGACTCGATGGGTCAAAAGACTGTGTCAGGCAACACTGGATGTACATGCAACTCCTCTATTTCTTTATTATTATACCATCTGTAGTTGATATTACACAGATACACTGCTCAGCAGTGTTTTCTGTGAGTTACACAGGCCATGTCTTAGGGGTGTGATTTGCTTGCTATATACAGGAATTTCTATCTCAGGCATGTACATGTCTTCCAGTGCTTCAGGTAGTTTGTCATGTCACACTCCACTGCATGAGCAGCACATTAGGTTCTGTTTGCTGCACAGATCTGGCACATATTCATCAGGACGTGCTGAGCTATGAAATCTGAAAAGCTGCAGTTTGCTGATGGCCGCAACTAAAAAAAACATGTTCTTGTTCCCTTCTTCCTCCTCCAGCTCTTGAAATATATGTAACATTCAAAAGCCAGATATGAAGCCAGATTTCTTCTGTTTGGTTCGCTTTCCTCTGCAATTACTATTGCTTATTGATTTAGGTCACAAACACGGGGGCAGATTTAACTGCTTTTAAGTCCCATTGATTTCTATGAGAGAGATTTAAGAGCCTGCTTAACTCTCCCTTTGAAATCGATGGGACTTACAAGTGCTTAACTATGGTGGCTTCTGCCCCTGGTTATAAAATAATGTATTGCAGTGTGAGATGTGCTATTTGCCTTGATGCTGTAAATCCAGGGATGGCGAACATGTGGTCTTCCAGATGCTGTTGAACTCATCTACCTCAGCCAAGCGTGTTCAGGGGAGTTGTGATGCATATAGAGTTAGAGCCAGTGGTCCATCTATCTGACAATTACTCTCCAGAGTTTCAGACCGGGAGTGTCTCCCAACCCTACTTGGAGTTTCTGGGGATTGAACCTGGGACCTTCTGCATGCAAGGCAGATGCTCTACCGCTGAGCTATAGCCCTTTCCTCCAAACATCTGGAGGGCCACAGGCTGCCCACCTGTCCTGTAATTGCTTGTGGGCAAAGGGGTTTGCATGCACACAGAACTCCCTTCTGCTGGTCTTCCCCATTATCAGCAACCAAGGGGGGACGTGGTGGATGAGCATCTTCTGATGCACATAGTAAAGGGTATGCACACTCCATAAGAGGAGTCATAGCTCAGTGTTTTATATGCAGGATCTCACAAGCCCAGCTGCTTATAACTTTCATGCACACATCCATTGGGGGAAAATGCAAAATTTAAGGCAAGGTGGTTGAGCAAGCAAGCAGTGGGGAAACAGCCTCAGTGTAGTGGGTGTTGCCGGAAGAAGATTTATTGCTCAGATAAGTCCTGGCGTCCAGCCCGCTTCGGCCGTGCAGCTACCGGCCAGGCCTCCGCACTTCAAAGGCCACATTCCAAAGGCTCTGAGCAATACGCAGAGATCAGCAGCGGTAAGAGAAAGCTGCAAAACTCCAGTGCATTCTTTAGTGTGCTTAAATAAAGTCCACTCAGGATCTTAGCAGCTAGAAGCAGTTTTTTTATTTACAGCAGACTATCCATTGTCGAACAGCATTGTGAAAACACGTCCACTCTCCTCAAAAGCAAAAGTAGAGAGAAACAAAGGGTTTAGACTCTCGGATATGACGCAGAATCTCCCCCCTCCCAAATAGTAGGCAGGGTGTACACTCTGAGCTGTTTAACCCTGTAAGCTTAGGTTCTCCTCACATTGCCTTTATCAAGGACCCTTTGCCTTAGATCAGCCTTCCCCAAGCTGGTTCCTTCAAAATGTTGCTGTAGTCCAGGGTCCAGCAGCCCCAGGCAGCATGTCTAATGATCAAGGACAGTGGGGGTGCAGTCTAAAACATCTGGAGGGCACCAACTTGTGGGGAGCTTGAATTACACCTATAAATCAAGAGGAGGGAATCTGTGGACTGCCAGATGTTGCTGGACAACAGCCTTCATCATTTCTGACCATTGGGCATGTTAGCTGGGGCTGATGGGAACTGGTGCTCAACAACTTCTGAAGGGCCACAAGTTCTCTATTAAACTATAAGTAAAGGTTAAAAAAGCTGGATAGACCCAGCCATAACCAGGAACCGAGAGAGCTAAGGAGGAAACCATTGTCGCCTCCAGCTTCCCAAATCTGAATGTGATCACCTCCCAGGCACAGTGGAGCATCTCAGTCGCTTAGCCTTAGGGGCTGCACCAAGTCACAAATACTTAAGTACTGCTATCCCTTGGGGAACAACCCTAGAACAATCCACAAATCCCCTCTCTCTCCACTTACCATCTGTCTGCTGAAGAGAAGAAAAGTATCCCTAATGGATCTTGACATGCCAACACATAAAATAAGCCAGAAAAGAAAAGGGAGCTAGCAAACTTTCCAGCATCTGTTTTGGGTGTCTCAATAATATTAGGGTGTATGAATCCAAACTGACACATCTTTCCAAATGTGTTACTCTTTCCATCCTGCTATAGACAACCTCTTATGAACAATGTGTGATCTGTCAATCAGCATCAATGGAGGTGGCAGTCAGAGCTTGGCACAAGGCAACTGCTGCCCTAACCCAATTCTTCGCGTTAGAGAAAATGGAGCATAAGCAGAGGTAGCGCTTCTCTCTCTGCTGCTGCCTAAGAAAAAGGTGGCAGGATTATGTCTGGAAACAAGGGGAGAAGTATCAGCAAGATTGAATGCGAGTGAGGCTGAATAGCTGGCAGAATGCTCAAGAAGCAGGTCAATGGTCCTGATGAGGATAAGGGGAAGGGATTGGATGCAGACTGGAAACAAGTGCAACCTGCAATAAAATTACCTAGTGGGGTGCTAAGAGGTGAAGGAGCAGCAGGAAGCACTGGAGATGCTAATGTCTATCAGATTCTGAAAAGCTGGTTTCCTTTGGTCAGCTTAATCCATTTTGTTGAATTAATTTAATTTAATTTAATAGTGTAATTGAATTTTGAATAAAGGTGCAATTAACTGTTATTTGGTTTTGAGTAGTACTGTGTTATTATCTTCCTCCATGAGTTGTGCAAACCACTATCCCAAGCAATGTTTTTTGCATGGTACAATAGGGGGCACTGGGAATGGTGGAAAGTGGGCTGAAAAGGCTTGGGAACCACCAGTCTAAAGCGTGGTAGAGGGGGAAGATGAGTGAGGAACGCTGTGTGAAAGGGAAGGGAAAGGGAAACAGGACATGGAGGAATAAGAGCAAACATTGTTATATGTCAACAAACTACTAGACATCATAGTAAGATTTTGTGTAGATTAAGCCCCAAATGGGAGTCATTTTTTTTTTTAAAAAAGCTATTTAATGGGGACAGACCAACCTGGTGCCCTCCCCATACGTTTTGAACGAAAACACCCATCAACCCCACCCAGCATAATCAATGGTGAGGGATGATGGGAGACTGCGTCTGTAAGGCACTGGGTTGGGGAAAGCACACCAATACTCAGTGATAGAGCGCCTGTTTTGCATGCAGAAAGACTCTCATTTGGCCACCAGCACCTCTAGTTCAAAAGCTATTGGGCATCGGAGCTGGGAAAGATGTGCATGTGAGATGCTGGAGAGCCACTGCCAACCTTAGTAGCTGGTACATAGTAATGCAAAAAGCTAGAATGCAACAGATTAATCAATACTAGGGCTGAGAATTCTTTCAGCTCGTGTTAGTTGGGAGGGCATGGGGAGAAAAGGGGCTGAAACTGCCCCTGCTGGCATACAGTTTGCTTGCTACTGCTGATGGTTTTGCAGCGTTGGTTCTCCTTCCACCAGTCAGCAGAACCCATCCGTTTTCAGAATGGTGCTATATTGCTCAAAATGGGGCATGATTGGAGGGGAATAATGTCATCAACGCACCCACTTTTTACAGTCTTCTGCTAATTGCCCAGATGCCACCAATTTGGACAGGCATGAGTGACGTAGAAAATTCTGGGGGAGGCATTTCAGCTCTGCTTTAATGGGCAAGGCCAAAAGTGGGGCACAGCCCTGTGGTAGACTCCATGTTTTCCATGCAGAACATCTTCAGACTTACCATCTCAAGTGAAGAGTATCTTGGAGCCAAATTGTACTTTGTATGTACATACAAGAGATGCAGGTGGCACTGTGGGTTAACCCACAGAGCCAAGGGCTTGCCGATCAGAAGGTCGGCAGTTCAAATCCCTGTGATGGGGTGAGCTCCCGTTGCTCGGTCCCTGCTCCTGCCAACCTAGCAGTTCAAAAGCACGTCAAAGTGCAAGTAGATAAATAGGTACCGCTCTGGCGGGAAGGTAAACAGCGTTTCCGTGCGCTGCTCTGGTTTCGCCAGAAGCAGCTTAGTCATGCTGGCCACATGACCCAGAAGCTGTCTGCGGACAAACGCCTGCTCCCTTGGCCAATAAAGCAAGATGAGCGCCGCAACCCCAGAGTCGGTCACGACTGGACCTAAAGGTCAGGGGTCCCTTTACCTTTACCTATATACATACAAAACTGCTTTATACTGCATGAAGTCACAAGTCCACCTTTCCGTTATTGCCTCCTCTGGATGACAGTAGCAGTTTGTGGTCTCAAGCCCATGATCTAGGCAGAGCTCTGCTGAGACTCTTAAGTTGGAGATGCTGGGAACTGAACCTGATGAGCAAACAAAGAAATCAATGTTTCTTTGGTGCCAAAAGTTGAAAGGAAATGATTCAGAGCACATGTGCACTAGAGATTTACAGACTAACAATGGAATCCTGCATGTATTTACTCCAAACTAATGCAGCTGGTTTACCAAATAACCCTTGGTGAACCCTGGAAATTACAGACATCTGAGCATGACTGCTAGTCTCTAACAGAACATTTTCAGTTCCAATGTTATGTTACTTGATGTTTTTAAAGGACTTTATTTGAAGCCGTGCTTAATTTTGGAAGAACTATTAGCTTTAAATTGTTTTGCTGCTGCTGCTCCTCCTACCACTACTAGCATATTAGGATGGTTATTAATAAGGATATAATAGTAAGAACAATTACCGTTAATTTATTATTTGCCTTCTAGACCACCATCTCAAGGTGATCTACACATAATATATTTAAAAACAGTTAAAAAACAACAGCAAATGCATTTAAAACAAGATGAAAACCCTAACAAATAGACACTTGATAAAGTCCCAGTTACACAACTGGGATAGCCTGTCAGAACAGAAATATCTTCAACTGTTTCTGGAAAGTGCATACAGTGCACTTTCCTATCTCAACAGCAATGCTATTCCACAGAACAGGCTTCTGAGATCTTTGGAACTTGCAGGAGAAACTCTCCAGCAGACTGCAGTTAAAATAATAGCTTTGAAGGAGATTTGAAGGAAGAGAGAAAGATAGGTCCTACTGAGTCCTTTGGGACCTTGTTGCAGTCAGAGAGGGTTGGCTTTTTCCCAGCACCATCTTAAAGTCCACACAAAGCACCTGGAAACGCCCTGGGAGATTGCTGTGGTTCTTTAAAATAACTATATCCAGTAACGAAATAAGCTTCTATATCACACATTCTAAATCCAAAGATTGTTTTAGTTTAAACCAAATCTTTTGAGAAGAACTGGCCACCTTATTTTATCCCCAAACTTTAATGAAGAAAATGCTCTGAACTTTGCATTAAAATAATTGCTTTTTTAAAAAAAGAAAAAGAAAACAGAGAACTCTTTGGTTTCATGGTCTACATAAAAATAGATTTTATTTTACATTTATTTTTTAAAGGAAGGCGTATCTTTTATAAGCAGCCCTAGCATAACCAGGAGGATTGATCTCCAGAACCTATTGCTTCACAGTTCAATGGCTTTCCTCACTGTGGAAAGCTGATGGCATCAAGAAGTGTCTTGTCAGTGTTGTGTTTATGACACCTGCATGTAACCATTAATCTTTTCTTGGAGAGTATATTAATGATATAGCCCTAATGGGGGGGATCCATCATCTCTGATTATAAGAATCTGCCTGAAAAATAAATGGAACCAATTAGCAGTTAAAAGAGTACTCTGAAGTAATGT